ACTGCAGAGTTATTTGTCTAGAAAAGGTTGAAGGTACTTTAAATTCTAATTTCTTTATATACATTAATGTTACATTAACTTGTTAAACAATACAATTTTTGATTCATCGTGTGTATGTGAACATATTCAAACGTTATAACACATTACTTTCAGCCTATAGAACTCCTGAAATTTAATTATAAAGGAACTTGCTTGAAGTTAACTTGGCATGGAAGTATTTACAAATTATTATTATTTTGATTTTTTGATTTAGAAACATAGCAACTGAAGTTAAAAATAATATTATAAAATTATATCCAGCTGCTTTTGAAGTTCTTACCTATGACAATTACAAAGCAAAATATCACACTCTTTTATTTATGGAAGAAATAGAAGTAAGTATCCTAATAATTGTTTATTAATATTAAAGTATTGGTTATTATTCATTGATGTGTTGTACCATGATTTAAAATATAAAATTGATCTTATATAATAATTTGTTGCTAAGTATTTAAACTATAACTCACTATTCTAGTTTATTATTCTCCAAAGTTGATAAATTTTAATTGTGATATACAACATTAATTTAATAAATTAAAAATATTAAAACCATCACTAAGACTAACTATTTATAATATTTTATTATCAACCAGTTTTTTTGTACTTTTATTAAACTATTTTATAAAATGTCCTCTTTGAAATACTAATACTATATTTTGATATAAATTTTATCTAACAGTTAGATATACACATTTGTTCAAATCATAGAACTTAATATACATAAGATAATAAATGTATACCGCTATAAGAAATTAACATTGACATATTTAAATTCAATAACAAAAATACTTACTATCGCATTTTTAAGAATATATTTTCCTTCAATGAACTGTTCAAACAGTTGTACAAACTTTTTTTCATAGCTATGTTTTTTATATTGCAACATTGTTAATATTTATTATTATATTTTTAATTAATTTGTGTCTGTAAAATAATTAATTTAGTTTAATTGTTGCGTGTTAAAAAATATCAATGAAACATAAATTAACAGTAGAGCCTCGATAGTCCGGATAAATTCAGACCGAGCATCATCCAGATTATCGATTTTCCGGATTACCGTAGGTTTTTCAAAATTACCTACTCAAATGACTAAGATTTAACTTTAATTTCACCATCTTTATATTTATTGCATTTTAAATTACAAGAATAATAATTAAATTAAATTAAAACTAAACTAATGAATTACAAAAAAAAAATGTTTATAATAATATGCATGTAGAACTTAGTATAGTAATCGGTAATTTTTTTCTGAACAATACTTTTAATTTTCAATCAATGGAATTTTGCCGTCCGGATTACCGCGTTCACCGGATTATTGGGGGTCCGAACTATCGAGGCTCTACTGTATTTTTTAAATTGAAATATAAAAAAATAATGAATGATTGAATAATTTAAGACATACAATAAGGATAGTTTAATAACATTATTATTAATTTAATGAGAAACTTGAGCTTAAATGTTAACTAATTAAAAAACTAAATGTAGCAACTCTTAAATCTGCTTTTACACTCTATCTGGATTTCCCGTGAAGTGTAATATGATCATTTCTATTTTCTTAATATTTATTTATCTATTTAAGTTGTTATCATACTTATTATACTCTGTTTACCGTAAGTTGACCCATTTCCGCGCTTTTATATTGAGCTGCCAAAACGTTCAGACCCCTAGGTTGACAGTGGTCTATGATTAGACAGAAGTGTTTGGCGATGAGAGTTGCAGGACAATGTAAATAACATGTGCAGTTGTGGTGACATGCGTGGCCATGACCAGTTTTTGATGAGCGAGTGGGTCAACTTACGGTGTAAAGAGTATATCATATCAAATTATATAATTTCTTATTAATTCTAGATTACTGCAGCTCTTCAAAAATATGCACAAGAAAGAATACATTTTGAGCATGCAGGTGAATATCTAGTTCTGAAAATACCCGATCTTTCTGAGCAACGGCCTTCATTAATCACTGGTGATCGAGCTACAGTTACAGATCCACCAAACTGTACTAAAAGACTAGGTAAATGTTTTTTTCTAAACAGACTAATCTCTATTGGCTTAAAAATGTTTATTTTATAATAATTATTATAAATAGAATAGTATGAACTTTGTTTTCTAGTACTAGTTGACAGTAAATTGATTAAAATACATAAATATAAAATAATTGTATATTTAATGAAGGGTGGTACTAAGTGACTTGACTATTTAAAATAACTTCTAAAATCAATCAATTTGTATTATACTATTATATTATGAAGCTTTGAGGTCATAATGAGTTTTAATAGACATTACTTAAGGTGATTAAATTTGAAAATTAGGTGAATGTGGAATCTATGAAGGCATAATCCATAAGGTTTTGGCAGATGAAATATGGTTAAAGTTCGATCCAGAATTTCATAATATATGTGGCCATTGGGATTATAGTGTGAATTTTTTTAACGCCAGAATGCCATATAGAAAACTGCATGAAGTAGTCAATGAAATGTGGAAAAAGAACAGACTTGGCGAATCATTTTTGTTTCCATACAGGGATACCTTGGAATACCAGCCATCAAAATTGAAGATTCTAAGCCATGACAAGATAAACTCAGACAACAGTTATGAGGATAATTTAAAAAAAGATACCAATACTTTGTTACCACAACCAAAGATTGTGCAAAAGATCAGATGGTTTAACAATAAATTGAACTCTGAACAAAAAAGTGCTGTCATTAACATAATGAAAGGTGAAGGAAGACCCATGCCTTATATTATTTACGGACCCCCCGGAACCGGTAAAACAATAACAATGACAGAAAGTATCATTCAAGTATACAAAGAATTTCCCAAAAGCAAGTTAGTATTTTAAATTCTTTGTTGTTCAACTTATTTCAAACATGACTGTCCTTTTTACAATACTGCTGAATAGTAACCCTACCCGGGTGAAGTGTCTTAGCTCTGTAGAGCTACAATTAAGTATTTATATCAAATGACAAATTGTATTCACGATTCAGCATTAATGTAAATTGTGATAAAACTGTTTAACAATAAAATAAAAATATATTTTATGGGCCTTCTGGAAAATTTCTGGTTGCGCTTGTACTGCTGAACAATCATTACTATAACAACCCACCTGTTTTTTGGGATACTGGTCAGTAAATTGTTCATGCTTTTCATAACTTTCTCACATTTAACTGTTTTTAGATTGTTGATTTGTGCTCCAACCAATTCTGCTGTTGACTTGTTACTGTCTAAGCTTGTAAACTCTGGTTTATTTAATAACACTGTTATGAAACGTTTAGTCGGCTATAATCATTTTATTGGTTCGTCTTATGACATGGATTATGATGAATATTGTGCTTTGCCTGAACTTGAGAGTTCATATCATGCTGGTGAATCAGGTAACAGGAAATAATTATATATTTGACAATACATAATGGTAATTCATTTCATGTTAAATCGCTTGTATTATTTATATTAGATTAACACTCTGGAGATAAAATTTATCTGTATTTTAAAAATAATTCAAATACTCACCTTTTTTTAGATACCAGATTAATTAGAAAACAGGATATTCTCAAGTTACGAATAGTTCTTGCCACCGAAGGCACAGCTGGATTAATGTATTTGATGGGCTTAAAGAGTGGAACCTTCACTCATATATTTATAGATGAAGCTGGACAATCAACGGAACCAGATACATTATTACCACTTAGTATGTGTCTAGTAAATTTTTTTAAAAATATTTTCATTTTTACAACTGATTTTATAGCATTTTTGGATCCATACCGAGATGGTCAAGTCATATTGGCTGGAGATCCCAAGCAATTGGGACCTGTTGTTATGTCATTATTAGCAAAACACTCTGGTGGTCTGGGAATGTCTATGTTATCTCGTTTTATTAATTACCCAGCATACCTGAGAGATCCTGACAGTTTTTCAGAATTTAATGGTTATAACCCAAAACTTATTACACACTTAATTCAGAATTACCGATCTTTGCCAGAAATTATGTTAAACTACAGTAAATTATTTTATGAATCATTATTAGTGCCAACTGTAAGTAATGACAACACTTAATGTCTAAGAAAATGATATTCATATAATGCTGCTTTTTATAGATATTGAATGACAATGCAAAGGAAAGAATATTATTAAACAATTTGAATGAAAATACTCACTGGGACATAGGTTGTAAAGGACCAGTGATTGTGCATGGTATCGTTGGCGAAGATAGCCAAGATCCCAGTTGTCCTTCATGGTTTAATCCCCACGAAGCCTTCCAAGTCTTATTGTATTTTACAAGATTAATGAAATCGGGAATATCTGCTGATGACATAGGAATTATTACCCCATACTCTTCTCAAGTAAATAATCATGTTATATGCCGTTCAAACTTTTATAACATTCTCTTTTTTCTGTGTGTGATTTAGGTCTCCAAAATCAATGAGTTACTGAAAATGTACCATCCAGATATTAAATTACCAAAAGTAGGCTCAGTAGAAATGTTCCAAGGCCAGGAGAGGATGGTTATTATCATATCCCTAGTTAGGAGCAAATCCACAGCAGGACACGAAAAAGATAAAAGATTCCGCTTAGGTTTTCTCGCTGCCCAAGAACGCACCAATGTCGCATTGTCCAGGGCAAAATCATTGCTCATAATAATTGGAGATCCAGCAACAATGAAAATGAATTCCAGTTGGAAGTTTGTACTGTTAGAAGCAATCAAAAGTGATAACTATATTGGGTGTAATGTTACCAAATAAAGTTAAATCATTCTCAATTTTTCACAATTTAAATTGTTTTGTTAAACTACTTTTCATACACAAAGATTGTTTAAATTAAGTTATTTAATTAATAATATAATATATTGTATTTTCACAGCCAATATTAAAGAAACATATAAATGTTTTATAATTTTATATTTTTAACTTATGTCCTGTTAATATTTATGAATAAAAATAAAAAAAACTATGACAAATAACATGTTATCACTTTAAAATAAATACTTAGTGTTAATTTAAAGATCAATATTTATACAGTGTACATTTACAAATCAACTTTTGGCGTTTGTCCACTATTTACAGGTATAGTGTTTAACTCTGTCCGCATGCACAGAAATTCGGCGCATATACACGTGATTGCTGCACACGAAGCATTTAATAACCACCAAAATGGAGTAGGCAACGATCTGTTATACCATATACAAGCTGCCAAGTGTATGGTGTGTATAGTACAAGAAAAATCTAAACACAATCGATATCTTTCAACAATGCGCCAAATGAATGTAGCCCTAAACAGTAAAAATTGTAAGGTAGATTATTTTTTTTAGATTATTCTCAATCTCATACTCACCCACTAAGTGCATTCAATGCGAACGCGGCAATAACAAATTTTTCACTATTCACTATGCTCAACTCCTGTAATAATAGGCAAATTAAAGTAAGCAGTAGTACAGTGAGTAGAGGCATACACAGGGGAGATGAGCTAAGCTCTCCCCATTGCCTGTATTATTTTTTTTCTATATTTATCAAGTTTCCTTAACCTACTATTAAGAATGCTAGTTGTTAGTGTTATTTTATTATTGTTATTAGGTACCTACTTTGAATTCAAATATGATGTCCAACGATCTTGAAGTGCCAACCACATAACTGATAATAGTGATCCAAACACACATGGTGAAGTAGTAAAGACATTGGACAGACGCTATTTGAGCAACAATCAATGTGGGGTCCCAAACAGTGATACGAAAGTGTCCAGTGCCGGTAGATAGGCGGCTGTACGATGCAGCTTTACTGAGGACGAAATGTCAAATGTTAACACTATTAAATGCTGCACAATCATTGATATAGCAACATTTTACTTTACTCACTCGGTGTTAAATCTATTCAATATTGACCACAATGAAATGGACATGGTTGGAAAATGAAACGTCCTCATAAATACAAATGCCCGTGCAAGTTGTATCACATGAAAGGTTAAACGGTGGATTTGGATTGTTTCAGATGTTCAAGGCGTTTGAATCAACACTATTGGAAGACTGTTGACAATAGTAAAATTATATTTTACGTTTTCGTGTTTGGTTGAAATGATTGTTATTTAACTCTGTCCTGTCAAACCTCGTAGACTCACAGACATCAGGCAGACGTATCACGAAATAGATGAAATGGTAATAGCCACTAATAGACATAGCATAATGTATGTGTAATTTTTAATGTGTATTAAGTATTAACAAGTACAATTCAAACGATATTAACTTATTTGGTATTAACTACTATAAAAAAGTGTTCGTATTGCAATAATTTTACGACGTTTGTTGTTTGTTGATTTTATTTATCACTATTATTCCGAAAGACATTATCATTGAACCTATAATCACAGATTACATAAAAAGTGTGATATCGGTTAACTTTCGAATTATATTTTGCATAATAATAATACTGAGGAAAGGCAAGTGGCATTGATTGTCATCGAGCAGATAACATATTAAATAGGACCAGCTATTGCCTTATGCTGTGGCAGTGCAAAGGAAGTTAGACAAGTATAATATAGTCCTATTATTATTTATGAGTTGTGATTACCATTGATAGTTTTGACTCGAGTAATAAAATTGAGTAGTACACATTATTGCAGTACACACTATAGATTATTGTCTACACAGTATTGTACTACACCGTCTACACGACGTCTTATAATTGCACTCTCGTGAGTAAGTTGTGAACATGCCTACATGTATATTCAATTTTTATCAATGATGCAAGGCAATAAAAATGTACTCGTATTCGACGTTGCTAGGTATGACCGGTACGGCGGTACATGTCAGGTCCTCAGATGCGTTTCGTAATCGATGGTCTTTAAAACGAGACAGGTAGGCAACGAGTCAGTCGAGTCTTCGCGTGAAAGTTGTTATCGTGTTCCCATCAATCTTAGTATTTACTAATTTTCGAATAATTCGTACAAAATATTTGCGAGTATTAAGGTTTTATTGATCGGGGGAATCGCATTCGGAGTAATCTTTTATGAGAAACAAATTGTAGTTTGAATAAACGAGGTATGTATAAACTATGATTTATAAAGTAATTTTATTTTAATTTATAAAGTAACTATATTGCTAAGTCCATAACACTCGCCTAAAGGTGATTAATCAATGCTAGTGTATTGAAAAACTAAAAATTAAATAATAAAAACTATTGTAGTTACAGTATTTTACACGTCTAGTATCACTTATAATAAATTTCAAAGTTAAATAATAAAATCGTAAGTTTATGTATTTGTGTGTAAAATTAAATAGACGGTATACCCAGTAGTTTTCTTTCTAACTTAAAATATAAAGAAGAACATGGTGTAAGTATGGCTTTTGGTTAGATGTGGTTATAATTATCATATTAGGTATTGGTTTCTCTACACTTGTGAAAATACTATCTATTACCTAATTAAATCTTAAATATAATAAATAATAAGTATCTATAGCCCTATAGGTACAATAGGTACATACAAAAAAAAGTTATTGTGTTAAATTTAAAAACAAAAGATTATTCCTTCTAGACTTTAGAGACTTGTTCAACTTTCAGTAAGTACTTTAAAGATATATATTTGTTTTTAGTGTCAAAATGTTTATAATGAGGCGTAGAATAAAACTAAATTATCAACGAAAATTGAAGTGTTCAAATACAAGTAATAACGAGGTAAATTGACAAGACAACATTTTCCATACAACCATAATCATTGCTGAGTAGTATTTAATATTATTCAGTTTTGTGAAATATTGAAAACATTTTTAAGATCTAACCCTAATAACTAATAAGTACCTACCTAACTGCTAAGTATTTTAAGTACAAAATAGTAAACAAGAATTGGTTAACTGTTGGATTTGGATACCTGTGGAATACAAAGAATAGTTGCGAAAAATTTATTTTTAGGTACATATAAGTACTGTCTATGTAGAAAGATTCGTCTCATAGAATACAATATAGAATCATTTTTTATTAGGTTCTATATATTAGTAGTTTATTGCTGTTAAAAATAGACTCCATTACAAATGTGGCCATCTCCAACTCAAACATTTTTTTGTTGTACAGACGATTTGAACTATTCTAGTAACCTAGTAACCTCTGCATAAATTATGCAAATAGACTTTATACTTACTTTGTATGGTATACCAATTTACCTAAATTAAACCTTGTACAGTAATTGTATACTCATGATATAGAGATATAAATGTATTGTTTCAGTTTCTGGATTAATGAATGAAAAATATTTTTTGAATAGGTACTTACAAAGTATATGTTATTCTATATTAAACTATAAAAAATAAAAGGCAATAATAAAAACATAACCTAACTTCAATTGTTGCCCATAATTCCTACTATCTTTCGCTGCTTATTTGTTAATAATTGTTATCCTACCAATAGACACAGAAATATTGTGATTTTAAGTTAGCCGATTATGCCTATGATTCTATGACAATCCTTTAAGGTATTTTCTTTGTTTTTTTATTTCTGGTAATTAAAAAATCAAATTTTTCTGAAAAATTGTTGCCACTTAGGTAATATTTTGACGGCCTAAACTGCGTAACAACTTAGACATTCTATATTATCCGAGCTAAGTATATTACACAAATTAGAATTGGATCACCATTTCAATGTTAGGAAAACTAAGCTTAGTTTGTCCTCTACGACTAATTATTTTTGGAATTTGTCAGGAATTTGCATCAAAAACTTTCTATGCCCCACCCCCCCTATTATTTTGGTAAAATATTAGTATATTTGCTTCTTCTAAAAATACTTAATCGGCTAACCTATTTTCAAATCATTCTGCCTCTGCCAACTTTCGAAATGGTATTAATATAGTCAATCATGGTCTTCTATTGGTTGAAATGGAGGTATTTGGTATTGGGAATTCTCTTCTGTTGTTTTTGAAATCTTCACTGGATCAGTCCAATCTAGATTGCTACGTTTAATGCTTTTACTACGTTTTTCCCTATTTCCACTGGTGTTTTTCAAGGGAGCCATTTAAACCATACCCCAGTATTTCTCAACCTTTGTATTATTATAATGCTTTTCAACTACACTTTTTTTTTTTTTATTAGCCATTAGTCCAAACTATTACGGCTCAAAAGGCACTAGTCCATATTATAGTCTGTTTAAGTATTGACAGTATTCACAATATTTTAAAGTCTTTTGGTTGTATAATACTTAATCATTTTTATTGCATTATTTTGTTAGATGCCACATAACATGGGCGAAATAAGAGATAATAATTCTGTAGTACTTATACTAATATGTAAGGATCTAGGTACATCTAGTTTTATATGATATTTATTGGGAATCAAATTTCATTTAATCTCTTTTTTAAAAACTTATCCTTATATGGCATCTAATAGATGCACCAAACATTCTTTCGTTGATTTTATTATGTGTTCTACTCAGCCACACTAGAAATCATCAATTGTTTAACGTCACTAACTCAACTTCCTATGAACAAAATCATCATCTCTACACAATATTTTACCATTTAAATTATTTTATATATACTTGTGTAATGGTGTGGAACACTATTACAGTTTTCATATTTTTATAATTATAATATTATGTATAGTGTTATGTACTATACATATATCATAAACACGCGTGTCATCTTTCATTCATTCTGTAATATCACGGAGTAAAGCTATGTATAATATGTATAACTATTTTGTATAGTAAACAAAATGTATAATAATCGTTAGGCCTGCTAGACATACATCAGCCGAACTAGTCTCGTCTCACCATTTGCTCCATGTATTGTTGCTGCCAGGTCATAGTAAAATAATTTATATCACATTTTGTGTTACATTTTAAATATATGTTAAATTATACTCAGTATAACTAACTGTCTTGTTCGAACATCCAAATCCTCTCACATTTCCCAGTTTGGAACAGATCTATTACTACGAATACACAATTACATACCGTATACCAGTAGGGATAGTCGGATAGACAATAATTTAATTGTTACCACGTAACACTTGCTTTTACCTATAACCTAGTTATCAAACCTTTATTTGCCTTTTTATGTTATGGTTGTATTATAATTTATTTTTATTTATAATTTCATTTAACTTTATCATATATAGTAATGAAAAACCATGTTTCGGCGTTAGGTAATTCATGTAGTAATTAATGAAATTCATAAAATAATAGGTATAGAGATTAGAGACTACACCTATTGCCTAAATATCAATAATAAAGGTAATAATAATACAAAACACAGCACATTTAAAAGTAATTTAAATATTAAAAATATGTTTTTTAATAATTCAAAATATCCATAGATTACAATGAATACGTGCTCTGATATATTAAAAGACTTTGAATCCGGACCACTAGATGTTTATAGAAAACAGGCTACAATCAACTGGAAAAAAATGCGGGTTTTCATAGAATCTGAAGAGTCTTTACGATATAAGGTCAATAATTTACTAATTTAATTTCAATATATTTTATGATGCTATAATGTTTACTTATTTTAGATGAGAGCTTGGAAAACGTTTGAATCTGATCCACTATTCCAACATTCTAATGAAACATTACCATTAGATGAACAACGAAGATTAGCATTATTGAGAATGTATAAAATTGTAGAATCAAAAGTATTTCCATTTGAGGAAATAATGGCCAGTCCCAGACTGGTGAATACAACTAAAAATAATATTATAATATGTTGTTTATACTAAATAAAATGTTATAGGCTTTGGCAAAAATAGTGGCAATGTTTCAGTATTGTCCATCTGTTGCAATAAAAGTAGGATTAACTTTTGACATGTTCTCTAATGTCATATTTAGTATGGACAACGGAAGAAATTCTAGTCTGTATGAAAATGCTCAGGAAGGAAAAGTAAGATTTAATCAAATAATATTATAGTGTTATTGCATAACATTTTTACAAAAGCGATTGACTTGGTGTTTTAGATTCCTGGTTGCTTTGCACTTACAGAAATTTCGCATGGTACTAATACTAAAGAAATGAGAACTACAGCTTTTTATGACAATAATTTAAAACAGTTTATTTTACATACTCCTGATTTTGAAGCAGCAAAATGTTGGGTTGGTAGCTTAGGTAAGCTGTTCCCATGCTTTCAATAAAATCATTTTTATTATCAATTTAAAAATGGTTTTATTTTGACATATTTTGTCCAATTGTCAATTTATAATGCAAAAGTACATTTGACAAGCTATACAACTTAAAGATAAAAACATAATTTATGTTATCTCATTAATTTTTTACTGTATCCATAATTATATTAAATATTTAAATATTTCTTACGTTTTAGTGAGTTTTATAAATAATTAAGAAAACAAAATGAAAGAACATTAAAATTTAATTTAGGAAAATCAAGTACACATGCAATAATATGGGCCAAATTAATCATGAGTAATGGAGATGATCATGGATTACATGCATTTGTAGTTAATATACGAGATCCAAAAACTATGTTACCTTATTCTGGAGTCATAGTAGGTGACTTAGGAGAAAAAGCTAGTTTGAATGGCGTTGATAATGGGTAATTTTTATTTTTATTAATCTTAAATTATTATAAGGATTCCTAACCATTTTTACTTGATGGTACACTTGGGACTTGGCCCTTTTATCAATTTATTTATTAAAAGGTAACATTTATCTGAACAATTTCAATAAAATAATTAATCAAAATACAGATTAAAAAAAGAGTATAATATATTATAATGACTACTAATTGAATGTGATTTCTTTCATAAGAAATAAAAGCGGTTTATTACAAGGCAACTGTTATCTTAATAATAAATTACAATAAACATAAATAACTAAACTGATAAATATATTTAATACACATAAAAATAATGATATGGTTCACTTTTGTTGGGGTTAAGAATCCTTACATTATTAACTTAATATGTTAATACTGTTTTTTTAATACATATTGTAACAATCATAAATTGTTTTGATAGATTTATAATGTTCGACAAGTTTTGTATACCAAAAGAAAGTTTACTGAGTAAAACTGGAGACATAAATGAAGATGGAAAATATGTTTCACCATTTAAGGATAAATCAAAACGATTGGGTAATATACTATGTATTATGTATATTGTATAGTTTATTATACACTTCAATAATTATTTATTTATTATAGTCATAACCTATAGTTGTAATCAACCATCACAACTAATCATATAAGTATATACAGCTATAATATATCTCAATGGCAAATGCTATGCAATAATAATTATCTCAAGACTCAGTGACTACTTAACTCTAGTGACGCTTATGATGGCGAAGTTGGGGGGGGCTCTCCCTCAAAGCTTATTTTGAACTTTGGTTTTATATGACGCTTACCCCTATAATTATCAAAACTTAGCTGGCCATATTGTACAATTTAAATAGTATAATTTTATTGCTGACATCCTGTGTTTATTTTGTACGGTTCAAATTAAATTTTACACTGATCTATGTCAAAATACTATGTAATTTAAATAAATTTATAGTTGGGCAAGTACTCGACTACTCTACTATTTAATTGAGAACATAGGCCCTCATTTTAATCTGATTTTTTAAAAACTTTATTGGTACCTATGTTTTTGAACAAACACCATTGTAGATTTTAATCTAGTAGGCATAGTAAGAACGTTCTATAACTTTGTATACATTTGAAATAGTTAATGTTTTTGGCATAATATAATCTGAATTAAGTCTATAATGTCATAACTCGTTATTAAAGTTACCAAATTATATTTACAGGAGCTTCTTTAGGCAGCCTATCAGTTGGACGATTAAGTATTGTTAATATATGTGTAGCATACATCACAAAAGCTGTTCCAATAGCTATAAGATATACAGGTGTTAGGAAACAGTTTGGACCTCCTAATGGTGATGAGTTACCAGTCTTAGAGTATCAATTAGTAGTAAGTGTAATTAAAAAACTTATTTAATTTATTTTCACATAAAAATGTTTATTTTGTTATCTTATGATACTGTACTGATGTAAATTAATATTGATTATTTTTATATGTGTTAATAATTTAAATTGTTTATTTTTAGCAATGTAGATTGATTCCAAATTTGGCTGCTGCATATGCATTAAAAATCTATGGTGATTACGTGGCTAATGTATATGAATCATTTTTAATTGAGATGTTTACCAACAGTGGTTCAGAAAAACTTGTAATAAAAAAATATTTTTAAAAATTTTTAGAATATTTAATGTATGTGTTATTTATGTTTAGAGATTGCTTGGCATAGAAATACATGCAATATCTAGTTGTGCTAAACCTATTGCTGCGTGGACTACTCGAGATGCAATACAAGAGTGTAGAGAAGCATGCGGTGGTCACGGTTATTTAAAAGGTTACCTACCTTTTTCTACCTACCTATTTCTACCTATCCACGTGCCTTGTCACCACCCTATGAGTGCATAATTAACAAAATTAATGTTAATCTATGCTAATTTAGATATTATGTAAATTAATCTATAATTTTTTTGTTGCCTATGTTTTTTCGATATTTTAATTTTATGAGCATTTTTAAATTTTAATATTTATTTCTCTTAAATACTTTTAAATTAAAATATTTAAAATAAAAATCTACAACAGTGGACAGAAAATTGTCTTACCTTATTCTAGTTTAATAAAAAGTAATAGGTTAAAAGTACATTAAAACTAACCAAGCTAAATGTGGAGTACATTTCGTATGGTATGCTACACGCTAAGACAAGCCAACGCATCCTCTTGAATATTCAGTATAATTTTTTTTATATACATTTTTAACTGTATTTAATTTTATTATTAGCTGCTGGTCTTAGTGAACTGCGTAATGCAAATGATGCTAATTGCACATATGAAGGTGATAATAATGTATTATTACAACAAACAAGTAATTGGCTATTAAATATCTGGACAAATTTGCTGAATGGAAATAAAAGCTGTTGTGATACTCCATTGGGTTCTATAGAGTTTCTTAAAGATGCCAAAGCTATACTAAACGAAAAATTTAAATTATCTAGAGTAGATGAAGTATTCACTCATATGCGTGAGTATATTTTTTTAATAATTTTCTATTCATTATTATCAAAATTAATTATTTGGGTCCACTTAGATTTACTATCCTGTTTTCAATGGATGATATGTTATCTATTACGTCAGACATATGCACAATTGCAACTATTAAAAGATCAAAAAAAAGATTTATTCACAGCGAAAAATGATTCCCAGATGTTCTTTGCTAGAGATCTGTCAATAGTATTTGCAGAAGTAAATTTATAATATTTATTGAACTTAAATTATGTTTTTTATAAATATTTATTCTATTCACAGTACTTAATTTTAAAAAAGTTTATTGAAACAACATCATCTCCAAATTTAGATGATGCCCATAAAGTAGTATTACATAAACTTGCTTCACTTTATGGATTTTGGCTAGTTGAAAAACATTTGTCAATTATGTATGAAGGTAATATATGATTGAAAACAATAAATATTTTAAATATTAATAATTATTACTTGTTTTCATTATAGGTGGCTATGCTAATGGGCCATTAGCATCAGTAATAGTTAAAGGATCCATAATAGATTTATGTTCAAGTCTTAAAAATGAAGCAGTGACACTCGCTGATGCCATAGTACCTCCAGATTTTATACTTAATTCAGTGCTGGCTGCTTCAAATGGACGGGTAAACTAAAAATCATAAAATTAATATCAATATTAAAATGTGTACTATATTAAGAAGTGAATACTTATTAATAATACTTTTATATAATATTTTTAAACTCCATCCCATAAGTGCAGTCTTGTGCTTTTTTGCGTATCCTATAACAGTTCTTGTGTTGATATGTATTAACTATAATTAGAGGAGTAGAAAATGTGATAGGAGTTAGTGAATTAAGACTTATTATGATGTTGTGTTTTAATAGTTTATTAATACAACATTTCAACGGATTTTATTTATTAGTTCAGCAATTTCTAGGACTTTTGCTTGCTAGTTCCAACCCGTTTGGGGGTCACAAATATTAATTTTAAATTTTCGCCAATACATGTTTAACTTATGCATGAAAAATGTTTTTTTGGTTTTGCAAGAAAGTTATCTCATTTGGCCATGGGGGGTTTAGAGTTTACACTGTCCTAAGCAAATTTTGGCGATGTGGGAAGTGTGCGCGTAGCTATTGTGGCCATGCTCTTCTTTCGCAGTGCAATGTGGCAAAATATAAACAATTTTATTTGTCTAAATATTGCACGCATTCAATCAGGACATAGTGTTAAAAAGGTTAAAAATCATTGTTTCAGAATTTATGTAAACATGTTTCGGTTCAGTTATCAATTTACTCAACACTACTCACATATAGATGATTAAATCTTAGACATAATAAATTAAAACTTAAAAACACAGTTATATCCTGCAAAACTTCTATTATCTTAATTTAATTATCCATAGTTGTTATGGTTTTTGATCCTTATGGGATCTTTATTAGTGCTATACATTTAAAACATATCACATATTATATTGAAGTGGCTTTTATTGCTTTAGTAATTTGTTTTACTACTTTAGTAGTATAGAATTTTCATTGTATTTTATTTTTGTTAATCTAATTTTGGATTTTTTTTAAATAACATTAATTATTGTATTATTTAGGTCTATGATAATTTGAAGAATTTATTATTTGAAGATAAATCGACATTTGAAAGACCTACTTGGTGGACAGAGATAGCAGTACGATCGAAATTATAAAATTAAGGATATTATGAAGCAGTTATATATTTTAATTATCAGATTTGTGAAACCTACTAGTTTTTTTTCCATGTTAAAGGTTCTTTTCATTATAGTTAAGTATTATTGTTTTTATCTATATTTTTGTTTTAAATAATGGTTTTTATTTATACTTTTGTTAAAAAAAAAAAAAAAATGTTTTTTTATTAATAAGTGTGTATAAATGCATTACCTTAAAGCTCATCATGCCCAAAAGAAGAATCTTGATAAAGCCAATGTCGATAAACTTCTATTGGATCTATCATCCAATGCTTATGAAAAGATACCATTGGATAAGATTCCAAATACTCGTCAGCATAATCTTGTGGTCTAGCCTATAAAAAAGTTGAAGATATGAAACAAATATTTTATCTATAATTAATTGTTACCAAACTTGATGGAAAACTGGGGAATGGACCACTGTAGCATTTAAAGCTTTCAAACACATGCCTAATACCATATCGTCAGGTGCATCAATCGCATAACATTGACAAGTGGTCAATTTATGGACTAATCCCACATTAAATATAATACCTCCTCCGCCTGTTAGATAATTATATCCTAAAGACTGATCTCCTCGGATGTTGTAACCGTACCTTTGACCAAGTGCAATTTGCTGACCATTCCAGCAGCTCAGAATTGATGCTAACCGAGGAACACTAAATATTTTAATAGAAATATTGGATAAATTTTTGTATAATCTATTGTGCAATTTTACCACCTCAAAAGTGTATCATCGTCTGTCAATGCAATCCATTTCACAGCTTTATTTGACAAAAGTTTTTTAGATAAGTATTTGAAAATTGCAATAGTCTTAAGACAGTGTCCTCTTTCAGTATTTGGTACATCTAATACAGTTGTTGGTATTGTATCATCTAAAATATTAAAAATTAAAAAAAAAAATTTTTTTAATTTATTATTATATAGATTATTAAATACCAAGTTTATCACTAAAGTATTCAATATGCACGGCATCTCGGCCCCAAGTAGACTGTAACACTGGTACTCTATCTGAATGAAATTTACTGCAAGTTTTCACAGCAAAATATATTGAATCTTTTGTCACCTTTCCATAACGTGTCTTAAAACCAAAATACATTTTTTTAGGATGTTCTAATACGGAAATATTATACAAAGCACATTATTAACATTATTAAACACTTACACATTCACTCCTTTCAGACAAAGGATGAACAATACAGTCTGGTGAAAGTTTCAAACAAAATTTTAAAGGTAGATGTTGAATTTTTTGATTGATTACTAATGATAACTCATAAGATGCATCAATTGAAAAATCTGAACTCAAAGTTTCAACATTTGAATTGGCAATGCTATAAACATGTCATAAAAAGTAAATTTTACATCAGTAAATTAAATAAATGTATACAAATAAATTTAAACCAACTTTTTTAATAGCTCAGCAGATATCACAAATCCTGCAGCAAACAAAGGATAAGTAACTCTTTTATTTTTATTTTCTTCGAATGCATAATGATGAATTATTGTTGGATGTTTATCTTGTACGCCATATCCCATCCATACAGACTATAGGATGTCATAAAAATAAATAAATAATATATTTTACTGCTTAGAACTATGTAGGTATCAAAAAATTTAACAATGCTTGTTTACATCAGGGCAATTAGTTGGTTTAGAAAAATCTACCTGGATTTTCATTTTTAAGTAATATTAAAATGATATATTTACATGAAGTAAATGAATTTAATAAACATAAAAAACTGACAACAACTACAATATATATTGGTTTTATGTCAATAACGGCACAGTTATTCATACTTACATCATTCGAGTTCTGGTTTTTCAAAAACAATTGTAAATTGTTATAATTTACATACGAGTTTTCTTCACAAAACAAAAACCACTTTGCATGTTTATTATTTTTATGTAATCTAAAAATTGAAACAGAAGATACAAATCAAAAAATGTAAATGATTTGGTACAAACATGTTTCTTACAATTTTATAATAGGAATAACAGTCCAACTTCCAGGTTCTGGAAATTGTTCATGAAGCATATATACTCCACCTAGTCGTGGCTTCTAAATAATTAACATAATAAATCATACAATTTCAATAGGCTTGGTACAAAGTTTTAAATATGTAAGGTATCTCATTGGGTAATTAAAACTATTCATTAGATATTAATGCTAGTTTCTCAATAAATTATGCATATTATTATTATATTCTTATTATACTGACTTCAATTGATTTTGTTTGCTTCAAAATATTATTTTTTAATCTGAGAGCTTGTTCTACATTGTAGTCGTTTTGTTGACTCAAAATTGTAATGACTATTTCCGATGTTTCTGTAACAAAATTTTTTTGTCTAACAGTAGGTATCTTTTAAAGTAATTGCCAATTATTTGTTCAAGGAAGAAATAAACCAACCAAGTGTCTGGGAGATTGACAATAAATATAGACAAATAAAATAAATGCCATTTATGAACATGATAATATTGGTAAATAATAAAAAGGCTACTCAACAAAAATTGAACATGTTAGAATTTTTAAGTTTAGTTATGACGACTGTTAAATGAATTTTAATATTTCAAGTATGTAATAATTAATAAGTAATCAGTATATACAATAGGTGATACGATTAAATACAAAACATTAAAAATCAGAAATCACATTAATATAATCAGAATTGAAATTAGAATTTATTTAGAAATGTTTTAATGCTACAGTTAAAATATTTTACTGAGTAAAGTACAGTAAGGGCTAAGGAATAAGGATACAGACTGTAAAACTGTAAATGTGTTATTTCTGTTATCTCATTACTATGAGCCACGGACAATTTAGAAATAACAATAACATTCGATCAGCTGATCGGGTTTTTGTTTACATTACTGTGATCTGAACGTCTGAGAAACGTTAAAATGATCCCACGCACCATCGTGGGCGTAAATATAAATAATAAAGAGATTGATAGGCTATAATTGGAGCTTAACATCTTGTAATTTATTGATATAAAATTTGAGTTGATATGCGGTAATTAAATTTGATTAAACTATTAATGAAAGTAAAAGTAATGGCATGAATTACTCAAAGGTAGATAATTTATATGATACCATGATTTATATCATGATTCGTGACTAGCATGCAAGGGGGGAATGTCAAATCTTGCCTTTTCTTTTTAAATTTTATAAAATTAATATATTTATTACAAAAATTATATATTCGCCATTGATGGCTAGAATACGGAGATCAAATGGCTAGAATACGGAGATCAAATTCGTACGGCAGTCCTCTAGAAAAAAACGGACTAACCCATTAGCCTCCCTTTTTGCAAAAAGGTCAATTCCCCTAACAGCTCCTGTGTATTACAACACAAATTATTTTCCACTTCCTACAGATTTTGGTCTTTAGACTTTCATAAGAGGAGTGATTAAAAACGAGTTGGTGTTTTTTTAAGTTGTAGATTCTAATAAATTTTAAAAGTTATTTAAAAAATCACATAATATAAAAAATAATAAAGCGGGAAAATGGGTACAGGTCTGCTGTTAAGTGTTAACACCGAGATAAGAATACTAGAGTATTCTTCATCTCATTAGGTGCCTAGAAGAATAGAATAAGATCTATGCTAGAAAGGTTCACTGTAATAGATGAGTTAAATTTGAATCCAATAATATAAAATCATTGTATACGAAAAACCTTTCCGATTTCTGAACGAATAGACTGTCTATCAAAATTAAATCAGTAGGTAAATTACTATTAATCTTATCCGAATGCGTACACCTAGATTTTCACTGTGAAATTTCTCAAAATAAAAAGCTGGGAATGTAAGTCTAAAAAACTAAGTTTTTCATCTCGTCAAACAAGCCTATTTATGGAAAAACATATATTATAATGTTATGATCTAAGGTCTGTATTCTGTACTCTGTTATCACCTCGATTAGCCGTGGTTATCACAAAATGTTGAATACTGTTATCATTAAAAAATTAGAAACACACTAAACTTCTAAACAGCTGGATTCTCTCGTACGAAGTGCGAACGTTTTTTAAACCTCTAAAAGTTTCATTTTATTTTACTTTTTTGAGTGTTCAAAGACAATTTATTCTAGCTGTAGACTATCACTTTTTTTTAAGTCGAGCGTGTTAGGTTATCCAATATGTTGGCTATTTTTTCAAAGTGTACCTTGCCTAAAAAAGCAGGTTCGCATACCATTCGCCAGCTGTCGTCGGTCAATTTCGATATCCAACATAAGCATCCCCAGACCCGAAGACACGTCGGGCTGCCCAGAGCCAGGTAATTTCCAGACCGAGTGTGTAAGATCTTTACGGTCGTAGTATGATAACTGAATGTTCTATTTAATCTTTAATCGTCATTTATCTTAATTATTGTATGGCATTGATGGAGGCCACCTAAAACTGTTGAATTGAAATTCGATATTTAGAGTAGTTTTTCTCAGTACTTTTAATATTTATTTTTAATTATAGATATGGAGGAAGAAATGCAGTCACTATGTTGCCGGGTGGAGGCATTGGGCCAGAGCTGATGAGTTATGTAAAAGAAGTATTTTTACATGGTGGCGTACCAGTGGACTTCGAGACAATTCAAATTGATCCACAAAGTGATAATAATGATGATCTGCAGTATGCCATTATGTCTATTCGTAGAAACGGTGTATGCATTAAAGGTAACATTGAAACACGCAGTCTTGATACTGCAATCATTTCGCGTAATGTTGCCATACGGAATGAACTCGATTTATTTGTGAATGTCATAAATGTGCAGTCATATAATAATATACCTAGTCGTCACAAGAATGTTAATGTTATTGTTATACGTCAAAATACTGAAGGTGAATATGCCATGTTAGAACATGAAAGTGTCGAAGGTGTAGTAGAATCCATGAAAGTTATCACTAAAGAAAATTCTACAAGGTTGGCTCGTTACGCATTTGAATTAGCAAGAAACAATGGTCGCAGTAAAGTCACAGCAATCCACAAAGCCAACATTATGAAATTATCAGATGGATTATTTTTGGAAACTTGCCAAAAAATGTCATTAAATTACCCAGATATCAAGTTTGAACACATGATTATTGACAACTGTTGCATGCAGTTGGTGTCTAATCCTCATCAGTTTGATGTGATGGTTATGCCTAACTTGTATGGTTCAATTGTGTCAAATGTAATATGCGGGCTTGTTGGTGGTGCTGGCCTAATATCGGGAAGAAACTATGGTGATCATTATGCAGTTTTTGAGCCAGGTACCAGAAACACTGGTTCATCTATTGCAGGTACAAACACTGCAAATCCAGTAGCTATGTTGAGTGCATCTGCCGATATGTTAGAACACTTGGGTCACAAAATGCATTGCGATATGATCAGAACAGCTATATCTAAGACTCTCAATGAAGACATGGTACATACAGCTGATTTAAATGGTAGTGCCAAAAGTACTGATGTTGTGCTTAATGTTATTAAACATGTGAAAACCATTGCTGGTAGAATCTAAAAAAATGTTGTAATGAACTGTTATGTCTTATGTGAGACATTTTAAATTATTGTTGTTTTTGAAGATAAATATTGAGAAAATACATTTTTACCCGACATCCTATGCACACATCTTTTCTAGTATTATGATACGAGTCATTACTTAAATAATATATTATTCATAATCTATTAATGTGTTTTTATTATTTTAATTTAACTAAGTCTGTCAAACAATAGATTTAATTATATTAGTATAGGTATGCATGAGCGCATTATATTATGTATAATATGGTATAGTACAATAATTTTTGATTTTAATAAAATATGTAACAACACAATAATTTTTAAGATTTTAATAAATGTAACAATACAATTATATTGTTTTGATTTTAATAAATGTAACAATATGATAATTGGTTATTCAGTATTCGCTTTAAAAATTATCTATATAATAAATCATCAACTATCAAGATATACTTTTAAAATAGTAAAATACTTATAAATGTTATGAATTTTTTTTTAGATATCAATAATTAATTTGTAAAACAATGCTGTGGCTTATTTGCAGTATCGTTATATCCAATACATTTTTATTAAATAACAATTAAAAAAATAATTTTTAAATTGACTATAACATTTATGATTTATACAGGTGTTTTAATATTTAACTTTCTCCTGGTAGTTAACCAGAGAATAAAATACTAATAATTTTTGGTGAAAATTACAATTGAAACAAATTAAACAACATTTCTATGCCTGTAGGTACCTTATAAATTGATATAGAATCAGTAAAAACTAAATGTCTTTGCGATATTTTGTCATAATATACACTCAAGCCACAACAATTTTATTCCTCTCTAATAGTTACTTGAAAATTGTTAAGTATAAAAAATGATCGTTGTGTTTAATTTATTCAGATTCTTTAGTATTTATTTTTTATATTTAATTTTCTTTAATATTCTATTGACTTTGGCCATTTTAAAACCTAAACCTAGGATACATTAGTTGTAGGAAACATGTATCCTTGCTCATAAGTTGTAACAGAAACAAATGTACAATGCCTACCTTATATAGTTATACAAATCTTATTGTTAGTAGGTATAGAATTCTGGAATTAAATTTCTTAAATTTTTTTTTTTGTTGATCTCAGACACCTGCCTATTTTTTCATACTACTAGAAGGCGGCTAAAATAAGTCTTTTAATTTTTTAGGTATTTATACATTTTTTATACTTTTTCCTGTTAAGATGTGATCTCTAAATAATTATTCGTTAAACAATATAATAGATATTATTTAATTTAATGAAAATCAGAATTGACAGAAATTTCCGATTTTTATTACAACATAATTTTATGTTTAATTACATTTTTAATTTTTCAGCCAGTGTCCCTAGCTTTTAAATGCTAATTAATTGATGCTCCTAAATCCTAACAAAATTGAAGAGTTCAAATTTCATGAACCCGCAGCCCACAAGCGCAACAAAACTTGAACTATTCTCTTCTAAAATATATCAGAATACTGTAAGTAGCGGTACTTGCAAACCAAATTTCGAATGAAGTAAAAAAAAATACCCGCAGAGATCGATGTCTTTCGTCTTACATCAAATCAAATTAAAAGCATAGTACCTACCGGCTACCTGTCCAGTCCATTCCATCATTATAATATTATACATAGGTAGGTACCTACTACCTATATCATTACTCGTAAGTCCAGACTAAATAACTGTTTATTTTTATTTGTTACTTGTTTTTATTTTTATTATGTTTACTAAAACAGTGTTTAGCCGTTGGATTAAAATACTAAAAATTAAAATACTTGAATGGGTAGGTAATACCTAATGCATAGGTACCCAATGAGGCTGTTATACGTATTTTTTCTACCTATAATAGTAGGTACCTACACGGCTACACACTTCTATTCATGCCTACATTTCAGCTTCGGGATAATGATCGCCGCCATCGAGGTAGGTACCTACATCATCGTAATTAATATATATATATTATAATTTTTAATATATTATATTTGATGCAATAACTTGTACAATTTAGACCATTGATCATATAAATACTAGTGTAGTTGCAGTACACGGTCTTATCTCACCGAGGTTTAATAGTTATTAGTTTATTACTTATTGGAGAGGCTATACTAGTTTATAGGTCTATGGTTTATACTTATAAGTTATATATGTATAGTGTAAACGCAAAGTGCATTACTTCACTGTTTATTGCCCACCGAACGAATTGTGTCCCGCTGCAGTATCCATTTTTCATGTGAAGCTAGTTCCGATATTATTCACTAATAATTGCGTCCGGAGAAATTTAATGACGACATATACCTACTAATATTGCGTATCTACGGTGTAAGTAAACTATTATTTGATACAGACTTAGGACTGCCAGTAGCAAAATCGTATATTATATTGCCAAAGGTAGGTTAGATTGAGTGGCGTATTTACGGGGGGGGGGGGGGGGTGATATGGGTGATATATCAACCCCAGAGCTTTTTTTTAGGATTTATTTTACCCCGTGCCCGGGCCGCCGGCCTGACCGATGTGGCGATGACATTCTTAAATACATTTTTTTTAGGATTTGAATGTATCTTTGGTAGTTCAAAACTTACTACTGAAGATATTGACCAATTCAATCAACTTATTGAGTTTTATTCTCCTGTTATTGATACATTACCTAATGGCATTGACAGAATTAAAAATGTTTAGGAACAAACTTGCAAGCCAAAATATAACACTGAAATCAGTATTTGATGATTTGTTAAAATGCAATGAAGATTATTATATCCTAATATTCATTTTTTATTTAAAATTGTATGCACCTTGCCAGTTTCTACAGCTTGTCCGGAACGGCCATTTTCAAACTTAAAAAGAATTAAATCATATCTACGCAACACAATATCTGAAGTAATACTGAAATAATGGATTAACCTATGCATTTTGCAATGTTTTATTTTTTCAATTTAGAAGACGCTAAATGGTTTAGCAATGTTAAGCATTCATCGCGATATTGACGTTAATGTAGACCAAGTGTTGAATGAAATGTCTCAAAAACCAAGACAAATGAATATTATTTTGTGATTTTTTTATGAAAATAAATGTATAATATTATAAATGTTGGTGTAGTTTTGAGTAACATCATGGTGACATGACCAGCATGGCCTATATAGTGTACTTTACCGAAAGGTAAGATAGCATAGTGTGATCCTAGATATTTGCCCCCCACCTCGGCCTGTCCCCAATGTGCTAAATAATTTTGGTCCTATCACCCCCTAGAAAAAAATCCTTGATACACCACTGGTTAGGTTAAAGATGTTGTCTTTGATCTTTCATTATGACATATTGTATAGGTATATCAAAAATCTTGTTTTGTGCAGTTTTTTCGTTATGACATACCAGCTGTATAATATATATAATATATATATATATTCTACATTGAATTAAAATATTGTTTTTCGTAGTTTTATTTAAAAATATTAAAATTAAATTTTTAAAAAAGTATATAAATATAGGGTAAGGTTTGTTTGTTATATTAATGTGATGTAAATATGTAATTGTTAAATGTTATTTTGATTTTATTTTTATATTTAATCAACTGTTAAATAAGTGAACAATTTAAAAAAAATTCTTTTTTACATACAGGAAACCACCTCAAGTCGAAATTCGAGGGAAACTAAATGTTTTCGATTTGTTGAGGTTTTCGACTTCCTACAGGGTTAGGTTAGGCAAAGGAACGGCATGTATTTCGCTTTATCGAGGTTTCACAGTATTTTACATTTGATCGAATTTCGATGTAAGTACCTTTTTAAAGTTTTTTAGTACCTCAATAAATTTATTTCACGAGTTTTGAAGTCCCGTTTGATAGACGATGTATAGTCTAATATCCATTACGGATTGATGGAATTTTATATAATCAAATAATTGGGACACAATTCGTGTGTCACTCGTCTCAATTTTTATAATCTGAGCCCCAATAATTACATATTCGTATTGGCAGCCGAACATTTTAGGAACATCGCTGCAGTATAGTATGAAGTAAAAACCATAGTTCTTCGCATGTACATTATTTTCCACTGTATATGACCGGTACCTATATAATTATCGTACAACACGAATAATGATCGAAATAATTTATATAATTAAACAGTTCCGTCGATGGTCGACCGCAGCATCTTTCGCACGCTTTGGGTAGGGATAAGGCCCACACGTTTGCTTTCCGGTTCGATAACCGTAGAAATTATTATTCCCTCGACCGTTTGTAACTATAATATATTATTATTACGATGTTAATATAGTAGGTACCTACGCTTACACGGCAGTGGCATATTTACGACGATCTTAAACACGGGGAAGGGGGTGGAATTTTATTTAACATCAATAACGTTTTAATCTCATTAGTCATTTCGATTGTGTAATTTATTACAATATTCAGACACTTCTCGACACACGCACACACATTATATAGGAACACTGACCCGGCAGAGGATCGATCCTCGCGATCCCCCATCGTAGACACACGACGTGGGCACGTCACCGCAGCATGCGCTTAAGATATTATTATTGTGATTTATGGTTTAATTGAGGTCCGTAGAAAATAGCTGCAGTATAACATAATGATGATGGGATATACCTATGTCAGTGCAGTATCATAAATATTTGTACAGATGGTCTGGACGGACTTTGTGTCTTCAGAACTCAAAACACGTGTAGACCGAACAATAGCGCATGCATGCCTGCATTGCCTGCGGCCGACTAATATGCCGTGTTCGATGCCTCTCATTTTTTAATATTTCATCAATGTCTCCGACGGGATATACACTACCTCCGCGTCCGCGGTCGACGGAGAAAAAAATCAGAACATTATCGAACATCGACTTCGGTGCGGTACAGATCATAGAGTAATTACTCTATGGTACAGATGACGTACGATTAGCATGAAAAACGAAAAAAATTTTTATAATATTTACAAATACAATATATATTTAACAACTCCGTCGATTTTGCTTTTCATTTAAATAGGTAGGTACATCATATCTACACAGTCTTAATCCGATGACTTACACAATATAACTTCTTATAAATTACAAAAAAAAAAAAAAATGCTACAAAATAATTTTAAAAACAAACTTACAACTGACGCATAGTTCTATAAAGATCTTCACAAAAATAACGCGGTATCAGGCTCATTGGGTAAAAAAAAAGTAATAATAATATTAATTATTAAAAAAAAAAAAATTACAATATTATATAAATAGATCATTGTTAAGAATTATTAATAAATTAGATAGGCTTACAGGAACTTAATATAAAAAAATGTTAACCACAAGGAAAACAAATATAATATAATAATAATAATACAAAACACAAATAAAATACAATTTTTCACAATCGGCACTCGTTGTTCATGCCGATAACGCGTAGTTATCAAAAACAAAAAGCGTAATAAATTATGCCTACAGTTTTTTTCAAGAGATAAAATCTAAGTTAATTGTTTTCGATGGGAAAATATTAAGTGAAAAAAAAATAGCTGCGATACAATGTTCTGTTAAAAATCACTAAAAAAAGTAAAAAAAAAAAAAAACATACGTTGTTATTACCGAATTCAATTTACGCTTAGAAGATCGTTAGATTATAATACGACATACCGTCTAGACGATAATATAATATTTTAAACAATAATGCAGACGATTCAATTCGAGAGTAGATACGTACAAATATTTCCATATGAATTATATATGTATATAATTATTTGCGATTGAAATTTTACTTATACGGTGTTTTTAGTATAACAATAACGAGAAAATATAAAAAAAAAAATTGTCCACAAATAGGTTTTATCGTCGATATTATTTAAACAAAAACGAAAAAATTATACGATTTGTCGATAGAGATTTCATCAATAAACGTAATAATACATTGTATGACTTGTGAAATTATATTGATCTGGCCGTAATATAGTCGACCTGCTTGATCGTCGTACACATATTATAACATCATGATGTGGTGTAATGACTTATGAATATATTATAATATGATTTGAATTTTGCAGTTATTTTAGCGCATATAATAATATATTATCAGAAAGACCTGTAATATATCATACTGTGGGTAGGCACATATGATTTTGGTCAATAATAAGATAATTCTGTCGGAAGAGAAATGCTCCGAGGCGATATTGTACAAACGTTTATTGTGGCCCTTTGAGCGGGCCTTCGTCGACGAGGAAAATTATATACCGACAGCGCGGTGAACGAATAATGATAATAATAATGATAGTAAATAATAATGAGAAAATAATCAATAAATAATAATAGTAATAAAGTGTGCGCGAAAAATCCCTTCTAATTCGATTATTATACAATATCATCGCATAATTATTAATACGACATACTTATTTATTAATACTGGTTAAAGAAAAAAAAAAAAAGAAAATTAATAATTATAAAACAAGATTTGTCAGTCTAAACATTCCGTTTGCGGGCAAGATTTTTTAGATAATCGTAACGCGATCAACAAGTCGCGTACGTCGACATGCGGCCGGCGAGTCCGTCAGTGGCCACGCAGACTTCGACGCTCGCGTACAATTTTGCGCATTACGCGCGACGGAAGTCCGGAGCAGTGGTCAGTGGCGACAACGTCGCCGCGTCACGACGACGACGACGACGACGACGGCGGTGGTGGTGGTGATGGTGGTGATGATGATGGTGGTGATGATGTTATTTATACTGTTTGTCCGTGCTTGTGTTCGCTTGCCCGCGTGTACGTGTGCTTGCGGTGCGTGCGTGTGCGTGCTCTGCGTGAGTGCGTGTGCGGCGGGGGTGCGGTGCGGTGTGGCGCGGCGCGGCGGTCGACGCATCAGCACAGCGTCTCCACCGGTTTGGACAGCGTCGACTCGTTGACGGTGGACGGCATCGCGTTGGACGTGGACGAACGGGCGTTGCCGCCGTCCGACGGGTTGTCCGTGCGCAGGCACCACATGCGCCTGACGGCCATCCACACCTGCGGCTGGCAGCCGACCACTATGAATATGAGCACCCCTTGGAGCGCGTTCATCAGGTCCGTCAGGTACCACACGTAATCGGGCCCGCCGATCACCCACGACAGCACGTCTACCACCCACGTGATGCCCATGACGATCACCAGTTTCAGGCACACGCGACCCAGTGTGGCTCTGTAACACGAAAATAAATATTGTACATCGGTAAATTATATTGTTCTCATCCGTACCTAACCAATACCTAACGCCGTAGGTATATTCGAATACTTAATACTCAATTGAAATATCAACGTAATAAATAATTCTAGGTATGCATCAATATAATATTATGATAATATAATATCACTATAACATTATTATATACCAGGTGAGCCTCATCATAACACAATTTTTTATGTATACAATTTACTGCCAGTGTCAACAAAATTATTTTTGTTTTTGATCATTTGCAATGTAATCTCACGAAGAAAAAAGATTAAGTCCGTGAAATAGACTGAAGTTCCACCACACTTTTGACAAATAAGCCTATATTAATTTTTGATTAAACAAATAGGTTCCCCCCCCCCCCCGTTGAAAACTATTCAGGGGCAGTCCCCTGCAATGTCCTCTGCATTATATAATAATATACATGAATTAATCAACGCAATTGTTTATTATTTTTTTTTGATTTTGGTCGGGGATGCGTAACACACAAACACCTCTCAGAATTTCGACTCAAATTGAATCTATATTATAAAATACAAAAAAAAAACGGTTAGGCTCCTACGTTATAATTAATATTATTTGATAATTGACATACATCAAGGATGGCAAATTTTTTGAACGTTATGTGTCAAAAATCACCCGAGTTTATTGATTTATTTTCTTGCGTGCCATTACTTTATGAAATATATATTTATATAAATAAGAAAACAATTATGGTCTCGTTATATTTTATTTAAAAAAATATATAATATTATAAGTGTTTTAATTTTGTTGCGTGCCCTCAACACTTTTTCTCGTGCCGCGGACTTACCATCCCCGATATGGATCATTGTACACGTGTACTTATTTATTTATTTTTTATTTACCTATATCGTTCAACTATACTATTGACAATATATTACGGGAACCGAATCGGCAGTTTTTTTTTTTATTTCACATGAGAGGGAAAACGACTACGTCTTCACACTTATTACAAGTATTGTAGACGCGTATTAGTATAAATAAAATAATACACGCCGTAATATTGTATTATGTATACTCGCGTGGGGTCACGGAGATTACAAATATATATTATTTTTCTGCATGCACTCGAATCGAGTTTTTCAGAAGGAACGTTTGTAAACGTCAGTTGACGCGTGCAAATTTATGCAATTTTAATAATTTAACAGTGTGTGCACTGCAGTAGAATTCATAATAATATACACTCCTAAATATGTACATCGTAGGTATATATATATACACGGGCTGCTAAATATGTAGATAAGTCGACGGCTACATCACTTCCTTTTCACGCGTAAACTACCCATCATATTATAATGCATCCACATAATATGCGTTAAAACAATATCAATGTCTATACTGCATAAACGACACCCGAACCACATCTGATGAGAGTATAAATTAATTAACTATAATTAATTTGAACGACGTAAAAACAATAATATCACACGGTAGTGGAATAAAACGTAAATCCGGATTCGAGTGCACACACGTCATAAACGCATAAATTATATATTATTTGTGAATTGTACGCGCGACTGTAAAAAAAAAAAAGCAGTTTTATACACGAACACGCAGCAGTGTTTCTAAGATGCATTTTTTGCCATGTGAACGTTTTTAATTACTATGTATTCATATTTTATTATTAATCGAGCACAAAGAAGTCGCGAGTCCTCGGCACATAAATCGTATATTCGTCGCCGGGGTTCATCGGACTTCCACGCGGAAGGAAGTTTACAGTCCGAATAATGATTGGATGTATGATAAAAAACGAGCGAATGAATATTCCTCACGGTTTCATATGTACTATAAATAAATGTATAAATATTGTATGCCGTGTGCGAAATATCAAATCGAGCTCTGGACGATGGAGAACGCAAAGCGCGGTAAAGCCAACGTTCACGCTGACGTATTCCCATCGAATTCGTTGGATTGCATCTCAATAGAAATGTGAAATGTTCAGTTTACTCGTAGGTCATTAATGTTACAGTTTAATCGTCGGACAAATTAAGTATGTGCGTATGAAAAAAAACCGATTCAACTCAAATAATTTTTTTTTTTTTTAAGTGTCACAATAATCATTATCACTTCGATCGTTTTCTGCAGTGTTGAATGCGCGCACTATAACTGTAAATGGTTCATTTAATGCGTTTACGATAATATTCAGACTTCAAGTTTAACAGACTTGAATGTTCACAACGACTTTCAGAAATCTTTAATAATGTCGCCTAGTCTCCAGCTCACGAGTAGTTTCGAAAGTTTGATCTTACATCGCGTTGTAGCTGTATCAGCTGCCCTTTACTGCCCTGAACTGTAACACTTGGCTGAACTCGACGCAATTTTATAGGATCTCTCTTCGTGCCGCTTTTACTATATAGATTATAATATAATGCAAGCCTGTACGCACAACACGCAGCCTTTCTTTATTTAATTAATTATGAACTTTTTTGCGATTCAATTATTGTCCGTCTCGGCAGCTCTAATGTAAATAAATATTGGATGAAATCAAATTATTTTTTGTTCTTCTCGCAGCTAATGATCTAGGTAGGTACATTCAAAAGCGTAGGATTTAGACATCAGTTTAAATTCTCTATTCATATATACACGTCGCCGTGTATTTTTTCCCCGTCTATTTAAAAAAGAATTTCTTAATCGATTTTTATTCTCATTTTCCCTACACTATATAGCCGCAGTCTCCGCCATCCGTGACGTCGCTTAATCATGTCAAACCAATCTCGTCATCCGATATCTTTTCATCTTGAGCAAACTTAGTCGATTTCTCTATATTATTTTACACAACAGAACCTAAAACAATTTAACCATCGTGATGCCACCATACACAATGATTATTTTTTTCCCTTTTACAGTTATCGAATTCCAAAGTAAATCATTTATGTAATATAGGTAGGTACATATTGATATAGGATTTCAATCAATCAAAGTGAGTATATGTAAACGTCATCATCGGTGAACATCAATATACATCAGCACTCTGCACACACCACGGGGGTCTTTTAATGCATTTTTACATTAACTCCGCATACCTACGGCTAATAGTAAGTAATAACGAATATGGGCCAACAGCAAATATATATATATAGTACATCGATCCCTTTATCCTTGTATTCATCATTCTAAGGATTTTTTGATACACATTATAGTCCATTACACACCCATTGCAGCATAGGACACAAAATTACGATTTTAATTTGTGAAAAAATGATGTCAATATAAACGCTCGTCGTAAATACACTGTTGCGCAACAAAGTTACACACATTTATCAAATTACCTATATGAAATCGCATTCCACTTAATAAATTATATATCAAACATATAATAATATAGGTAGATAGTTTAAATACTTTAATCGAAATTCACTATAATATTACGACCTTGAAATTATAACACTCAAGTTATTTCATGGCTTCTCATTTATTTGACCTCTGCCACCGCAGATCGGATACAAACAAATAAGTTTTGAATTGGTGTTTACGGTCCATAAGAATTACTGTTTATTTTTTACGTTTCCGTTAGACAAAAATAGGTACCTATATAATGTTTGTACAACAGTAATAATTGTTACACAGTTCGTAGATCTTAAATAGTATACAGATCCGTTTTAACTAGTTAATTTCTAAAAAATGTCTTTACATTAAGGTTTCGACAATTATATATTAGCTCCATAACTCCCATTCCTTAACCACCATTATAATATCAATTATCATAGCAATAATAATTATATGTATGCGGGATCGAAAATGTAGGGCAATCCGACAAAATTAATGTTATGACTTGTATACTGCATTCATTTGTAGTTACCTTTCGCTAGTAGATTTCACTACTTCGGTTCTCCATAAACCACACGTCAGCTCCCTAGCTGTGGCCGCGAATAATGTTAGATTCATCATCAACAAAATACCAATTGGTCCATAGAAATATGACAGAACCTCTGCGTCACCTGAAAGTACATCAATATTAAATTAACAATATTTCATACATTTACTTTGCCCAAAAATGGCCAGAAAGGTTATTTTGTATTTTTTCTAAGCAGACAATCATCATGCAAAAATAAATGTTTCTATACAAGGTACTTGAATACCTTGAGATTAAACTCAAAAAATATTTAATGATGATAACTGTTGTTATTAACGGGACCAAATTTAATTATTTTGACATTTCATGATGTCTTGTTTTTAAATCTATTGATTGTTCAATATTTAAATGTATTTATTTATTTTAGTAGGTATATGTATAAATAGTATATCGCATGTACAAGGCTTCAATAATATTATAAGTCGTTAACCTGGTTAATTATTTTCCTAGGTATACACATATACACTATACAGCAAACATGCATTATTGCTGTCACATAATATTCAATATTTTAAAAATTCGTCTTCTTTAATATTTTAAATTATTTTTGATTGGTTCTGTTTCAGGACAGTGTAGACAAATGATTGATGTAAAATTTAGATTTAAAAAAATAAATTATATGATATATTGGTTGAATTTTGGTACATAAAATATAATATATTAGTTCTTGAATAGTAATCATCAAATCATCGACAAATTTAAAATTATATATTTGAATGGTGTGAATAAAAATGCATTCTAAATAGGTAAGTGCATTGAAACGGGTTTTAGTATGATTGGATTCAATACCTACTGAAATAGCCGCATAAAAGTAAATATTTATTATAATAAATGTTACAAGTTGTGATATTTAAACTTTGAAATAGAGTATCTCTGGAATTTGAAGTGCCGTTACTTACCATAGAACCAGCAACGATGTTCACCAAATTTAGGTCTGATCAGTGACATGTATTGATCTGGTGGAATACGGTCTAATACAGCGGCTAGCGTGGCGATCACCAATGGTACACCCCAAGCGTACAACTGGTACAGCCTAAGCCTGCATGCTTCTTGGCCTTTATCCAAGTTGGCAGGCCTCAAGTCCCTGGAAAACACCATTAGCACATTAAATATTACACATCAAGGAAAATGACGGACACCCATAATAGTTTGTCTTACGCTTCTTTCATAAAAAAAAAACGACGCGCTTGACGTATTATTTCATACAACAATCGTTTATATTTTATACGCTTCAGATGTATTTCCGTAAAAATATATACTCCGCGTACGCGTACATGTATGATTGTATGTGCTGTGTATAACTTCTATATGAGTGCATAAAAATATACGACAAAAATATCGTGTAGTACCTACACACTAGCATATTTATTTTGAACTATATTTAATTTTAACGTAATAAAACGTTCATATACTTTTCTGTTTAATAGATATCTGAAGATATAGAGGGTAATAGCTATTTCACTGTATATAAGTATTTTTGTGGCAATTCATAAAAATAAATTTAATTAAAATTGATAAAGGAATCTGGAAAAGTATATAGAAATAAACAATGAATAAAAAAAACTATATATATACAATAATTTCTCTTGATTGTATACACGCACTAGCTGTGCCACTATATGCAGACATGTGATTTTTAAAACTGATTGACTGAAATATATTTATTTATTTTTTAGTTTACTATAGTATAGGTATGTATAATATGTAAAGACATAATGTACATTATAATTTATTATTAGGTAACTTATATACCTACTGGTTTAGTGGTTTATGTATTAGAGAATAAATTGAATTTCGTATAGAACACCTGTACTCATTTTAAAAAAAAGGTTGGTGTAAATGTGTAATTAATTTTACTACGTAAGGATTTAAATTTGATAATTTTAATGAAAGTACATTCATGTAAAAGCGTAAGAATCATAAAATTTAATTAAATACAATATTTACAACCAACCAATAATAATAAAACTAGTTAAATAATTTAATGTTTAAACTGGTTTTACATTTATCAATATGAAATTAATTTTAAAATTAATTCATTCGCTCAGATGTTGCATAAGGTAGATAGGTAATTGAAAATATATCATAATTATAATAATTAGTTAATAACACTTGTCTGATCAAAACGAAGCAGGTAATCGGACTAGTTTTCGAAATGTCAGCGATCAGCGATTGATAATATTACCTATACTATATTAGTTTTACTAATCAGTGTTAATATTTCACAAGTGTATATAATAAAATATTCATAGATTACAACTATTCAATTAAATGTTCAAACTATTCAAGTATCCAATAATGAAACGTGTGCAATTTTAATGTTAAAAAACATCGATAATACTGTTGTTATTATACGCTGGATCGTTGTGATTTATGTACCGTAGGCGATTTAATCGATACCAAGTGATATTCGTTCGTAATTTAGAGTAAATTAATTTTTTAATTAATCACCATTTACCAAACACTGGTTTGACCTTGTTTTTTTTTTTAAATTTAATTTTCGATATTTTAGATCTAGCCTTTAGGTTATAACTAACAGGTACACGTCATGACGAATTCTATGAACGTGGGACGGACGGTAAGCCTCCGGAGAATGCAACAGACGGTTCCAATGTATGCACTGCAATAATTACATATTAATTTCTATACCACACCGATATGTTAGATAATTTACCCTCAACTGTAACAATTATCACCACGTCAGATGATAATAGTGGTGGATGGGGGGGGGGGGGGGGGGATGCATAGTAATATAAAAATCGATGGTTTGAGGGTACATCTCATGCAGGAGGAAATTGAATAGTGGTATAGGTATATAATATGCAACTATATATGTATACGTACTGTGGATCGTGGGAATAACATATACAGTGGAAATACACTTTCGTAACTCGATATTACTGTTTATTGTCTCGGGATATGTAAGCCTATTCAACTAAAATATATACATGTATGTATACCGAGGTGCGTTTTATTTATCCTTTTTTTTTCAACAACGATACAGGTAGACGACGGGTAATGTAAAATACGAGGTCCGCACATATATCCTCGGGATACTATTGTATACATGTATAATATATATGACATAAATTATCACGCCCAGAAATGATGATGGTGAAATTAGTGGTACTCGTTCTTGTCGGTAAAACAACACTCATCATCATCTTCCTTTTCGATTTAAACTTTTGAATTGTTTTTATACCGTCCTATTAAAGTGATTACACCGTGAAACGACTCCTTATCTCGTTTAACGAAGGAATACAATATACACACACAATAATAATATGGTTTGTAATATATTCGTTTCGACTCACCTAAACGTCCACCATATATTGAAACACATCGTGTTGAGCCAGAAAAACGCCGCCAGAAAGACAAAATGCATTACAATGGCTGAAACAGAAATAAAAAAAATTAATTATACTGAGTTAAATATTTGAATATAGTGGAATACCAATAAATATATATTATCAGGAAATAAATGAAAAAATAATTTTATGTGTATGGAGACTTATATACATAACAGCTATATAACATACTAATACTGTTAATAATTTGGTATAACTTATGGTATAGTTATCTTAGATTTATTTAATAATTTCTCATTTAAGGGGTTTAGTTTTTTCGTCAACAGATTTTAAAGGTAGGTAGGTAGGTATTATTCACGTAATATATAGATTAGGTATATAAAATAAATAATTAAAATACATTCATTTATTTTAAAGTCTGAAGGATAAGTGTAATAAAAAGAAAGGACATGTATAAGAGAACATAGTAATAATATTTTTTTTTACAATAATTTAACTGATGTGAATTATCCACTTATACATTTATATCGTTGATTCTATGAAACCTTTTACATCGAGGTAATTTGCAGGTTTATGAGTTCAAGGCGTACACGAAAAAAATTGGTATTTTAACTCGTTTTCCAGGTTTATAATTCGACACTATATTTGTGTATATATCCTAAAAAAAATATTAGATTAACCGATTTACGTAGAAAACCACAGCGGAATAATTAACACAGACTCTATAGGTTTGATTATATAGGATCGTTAGGTGCTGTGATAGATATCGTCCATAAGGCATATTAAAATGTAAATATATATATATCACACGTAACATTGATTTACAGGTACAGATTGTTAATTAGACATTGGAAATACTATATTTTACCTCGGAAATATGAAACCGAAACATTATAAGAACTGCTGTCTTCTTGTTTTTAGTCACTGCCATTGCGAGAAATAAAAAAGTAGGTACAATTAAAAATTGAGTTAATTTGTTTGCATATTTTGGGTACACTCGATAGCTAGTTACCTGTTATATTAGTACAGCTACACATAGCGATACAAGAATCAATCTGCGCCAGATAAATTATAATGAGCACACTTTAGAACTCACTATATTATATCTTATAAATAAATATTAGGTTTTTACCGGCGTTAAGAAAACTATATCTTTAACCAAAAATTAAACGCACCGAGTACAAATATATAATCAATCACTTGTTTTTTACGACAGACACGATGAATGTAAACATACCTAGGTATATCATACACGATGTTTATGTATTGGTATTCTTGTATACATTACTCGGTGGAATGCAGTATACCTACTCGTTATGCATGGCCGATCATAATAGCATACGAAATATTATACAAATACTTAAGAAAGACCTTAGTAAAAGTAATGCGTAGTAAGTCTATAGCGTTCGAACTTTTAATAAAGTCAAGAATAAGACAGTATTTTTATTGTCTGGTGCTAATTGATGAAAGTAGGTTTTCTGTTTTCATACGTAGGATTCTCAAGGGGAAAAGCCGGAAGCAAGCCTGCAGTTGTGTAGGCAGACAGGCTATAGGTACGCGTTGCTGCAACAGGAAACTCGGTCAACTAGTTGAAAAACAATAACCGTTGTCGAGGTAATTCATCAGTTTTACTTTTTTGCGAAAGAGGTGCGAACAAGACAATTGAAATCCCTATACTGTGTGCAAAATATATACCTATACAATTATTTCATATGAATTCCTATAGGGAAATCTATTATAAAATATGCGTATGTTCAAGTTCTGTCACATGCAAGCGTTCTATAAAAATGTAACGCTTAATGAATAGTTAAGTAGAACGACACTAAGGATCATTCGCGAATATATTAACAAGTTCTATATTTAAAAAAAAATTCAAGGGCGGACTCATTATTCATGAAATTTTCTTTGAATTTATGTATCTAACTGTGAGCCGGTAAATTAATAGTATAATAGTATTTACCGCAATACATAGAACATGATATTGTGTACAGTTATTATTAAAACTTAACTTCAAACAATTTTTGTTATGAAAAGGCTTATACGAATTTAAGCAAACGAATCAAATAAACAGATGGTATTACACGAAACGATTCTGCAAACAACAATTAATAAGAACAACAATAATAATGCATTATACTAGGTAGTAATAGATAAAAACCGTGTTCTTGAATTCAATTTGAAATATGTTGTTTTATTATACCGTATAATGCATATTGTGCCCACTGTCCAAAATCAAAATTATGGCACGAAAGTATTTTTACACAATATTCTTCAATCCTAACTTTGTTCAAGATTATATAGGGGACACGACACCAATCATGGCGATGAATGTTCTATGGACATGATGTTAAACCAACGTTCCTTAATTTTACTTAAAGATTAGTCAATTATATTATTTATCCTATGAGGTCTTTCACAGAATATACACTGGTGGTATAATGAAAACGAATTAGAATAATTTAAATAACCGATGTTTTTTTTTAATTCTACTCATTTTTGAGAGCTGGGGGGCCGTACTTAACTACGTATTACAATATTTATATTTCAAAAAACTGGTTTCAACTTACATATTATATCAAAATATCTAAATAATCACTATTGCATGAAACTTAGGTACTTACTGCAATATGCTATGGAAGTATCAAATTAGAAAAAAAGATAAGAATTACATTTTATAACAGCCAGTAATTAAAAAACGAGTTCTGAAAGTTTTATATTAATACATATAACAGTATATAACACAAATAGTATTGAAATAAAACGGTTTGTAAAGAAAAAGAAAGAAAATCGATAGCCAATGATTAAAATGTAATAACTACCCTCTATTATGCCTAAGTCATGTATTGCAAGGAAAGTGGTATTTAATTAATTCCGATCCGCTATGCACGTCGTAGCGTCGTACCTTCACGTCTGCGATTTTTACGGTGATAAAAAACCGGCTTCATTAACGAAAACGTGCTAGTGTCGGAAACAATAGTGCACGCATATAATTAATATAAAAAAATAAGACTGATAATAATATAGTTGCAGTAGGTAGATACCCACATGCTATATATACACGTAAATACAATACGACTGTTTGGATATTAAACGCCACGCACAAAGCGACTGTATATAACATGCACAGGAAAATAATATTATGTTTAAAAGATTTCAAAAAGACTGTCAAACTATCTTTTTTTTGCTGACGAAAGAAATGCGTGTGGATACTGGATAGATATCGGTGCCTACAATTTTTAAACAGTAAAAAATAGCCAGCGAGTAGCCTAAAACTTTAAAATTATTCTACAAATATTAACCATCTGCTTATACTCCTCACTGTCAAATAGAGAAATTCAACGACGAAATAATATTACTGGCAATTAACTAAAAATAAATTGGTTTACTTGCCTACTATGCCCACTTCTATCGGATTTCTTATATAAGTGCAACACAAAATATATGTCATGCACTTTTATATAATAAGCACAGAGACACCTGTACTTTTATGGGATAACACAAAAAAACTATTTTACTCAGTTCAGTTGGATATGGTTAGGGTTAAGGTAAGGTAAAAGTAAGCGAGAATTTAATTAAGGTAAGAGTTTTAATTTTTAATTTCCAACTTGAGATTAATAAAAGAAGGTTTGCCCTTTATTATAGCTATTGTGCTCGGTGACACAAACTTCACTATTTCAGCCCCAAAGGTCAGCCCTGTTCCATTCTAGGCGTGAAATTTAATGTGCATATTATTATTTTATAATACTATTATGAAAAACTATACAATTCAATTCGTCGCCTACACCACTGCCGCCTACTAACTGTAGTTACGACAATGATTGAATGACAGTCAAGATTTTGTTTTTAACGTCGACGAAATAATTTGCGTTGGAGACACGAAAAACACTTCAAAAGAGTACCTACATTAATCTAACGAAACATAGTTTTATTTGAATCTGTATTGTACATATTATTTAGTATATAATATTATACTATTATTATTGTATGGATATGCTCTTCAATGGGTCCAATTTAATATTATATATTTTCTATTATTTAACATAGAGACCTTATTGGTTTTGAAAAAAAGAACATCTTATCGGGTAGATACATCGAATTTTCGTACAACTTTCGAAAGAGGCGTGCTGTGCATAACATGGTTATAACAATATATAACTATTACAATATAGTATAAACTGCATATAAAGAGTTTTAAATACAAGTTACTAGTTGGTTATACATCATTTATAATAATACTACTAGTTTTCTTATCAGGGTTCATATCGTGGAGTATTTATTACAAAGGAATTTATTTTCTGGTAATTTTTGTACAACGGTTATTTACCTACTTGTATATATTGTGAACACAATAATATAACTGCGAAAAAAGAATTTTTCATTCCACTAGCAATTCAAGAATGGGTCTCCCGATGAAAAATATAGTCGTATTATAATAGTATATTGTCGATTTATTACGGTTTATACGGCGCAATTGAGAATATCCATCCCCTTATAATACCTACATATAGACTGTAGTGGCCATAATATTAATGCAAACGTGTTTCGGTTCAATTGAACTTCATTCATATACATTAATGGGTTGTACATGTGTACGGGGTCGGGCCCTAACGGTCCAACTACCTACTCACAAATATGTGTATACTAGATGTGAGTGTGTGCACGTGTGCGGGCTCAAATTCAAATTGCCCCCCATTGTGGGACAATCAAGGATAACCGTGGGCTTTAATCTGCTGGTAACGGGCGCGCTTCTGTATATAGAGGAATACAATATTGAAAACGTACAATTTATACACAACTCCAAAAAGTAGGTAAGTACTATAGCTCCCAAAAGTAGCGTTTCGAATTGATCGCATTGCATAACAATATAATTTCCAATGGCCATTATGACCATTATGGCTGCTTATATATAGTAACTATATGCCTCTATAAGGTAGTATAGTCAGCGATGTGAAGCTAAAGATATAAATCCAGAAAAATCCATAGGTTGAAGATGCACCTAAAAAATAACGTTTACCTAACTAAGTACAATATTATTATACGAGATATTTTACATACCCTATATGTATAGCGTAATGTGTTGATAAC